AGCAGGCCACTTTATATTCTGTTTCACTGCACTCATACTCACACACCACACACACTGGCATCCAATGAATGCATGCATTCAACGATGGACATGCATGATTTATTAATGCATTTCAAAAATAAATAATGCACATTTGGACTCTATATGGGTTTGCCTATAACATTCATAGCAATCCTGTTACAGCTGCATTACCTAAATGGAAATCTCCATCTTAAATCAGATGCCTGAAGGAGCAATAAGTGCATGGGAAATCTCTAGCAACAGTTACACTATATCTATGTTCCTTTTACCTTATTTTGAAATGACGCCTTCTTTAATTATTTAACATCCAAGGTCAACAGAAGTCTTGATGTGAGAGATCAACAATGTTAAGTAGCAGTGATTGAGGTAACATCGATTTCCTGATAGAGCCAGACAGTAATCATTAGTTGGATGGATAAAGTTGTAGCTGCAGCTGTGCTTGATTCAGACAGCACTGTGGGAGTATATAAAGTCTGAAATTAACTTTCAGCTGTCTGTAAGGACTCAGTGAACTCCAGTAACATTCTTGTTAAGAACCGTTTTTGTCAACAAATCTATCATTGTAAATATTTCACCTTTACTGATTCTCTGGCCTTGTCTGAGTATTTAGTCAGGTCTTGGAGGATTGCTAGTTTGGATCTGAAGCATCAGGGAGCCAATTATCTGTGAGGATTTCACCGTTATCAGACATACTAATAGTGAGATTGGATAGCAGAGTAGACAGCAGAGATCATAAACTAATGTTGCCTATGAAGTCACTGTAGAGCTCTGTGAATATGACATGACAACGAAATCATGCATTAGTCTGCAATATTTAATCTGGAGGACAGTGTTCCTTAACTTTTCTGTCCTTTTGCCCTCTATTTCTCTGCCTCTGTCCCACATTACTGTCTTGGCTTCAACTACATGCTGGAGGCTTTTACTCCTCTCTCTTCATTTACACTCTCCCTCCCTTTCATCTGATCCTTGCTGCTCTCTTTCCTTTCTACCTGCTGAGATCAATTGTACATTCAGGGAGCAGGACTGAACTTCAGAGAGGGCGAGGTGAGAATGCTTTCAAAATCTGTACAAGTTTTACTTTTAACTCTCCTCGTCCGAAAATTCTTTAATCATCGATCGTCCACTTTTCTCTGAATGTTTTTCAGTGTCAAAGAATGAACAACCGATTGTAAAAGCATCAGTTTTAATACATGCTTAACCTGCTGACCGGTGGCTTTGAAGAGTAAAAGTTTTTTTTTTTTTTTTTTTTTTGTAACTTACTGACCAAAACTTTTGCAGCATCCATGCAACCCACAGGGCTGGTGTGGAACCATAGACTGTATATACAATGGACAACTTGGTTCCGCCTTCCGCCACTATACGGATTTGAAGGTGAAAAGCTCTTGGTATTTCCGCAATTTTTCTTCACTTCCTGAAACCACCGCTTGGCCAGTAGCATTGTATGCATTTGGCGAGAGAGTCGCTGTGATGACGCTCGGCTCAAACAGCGCATCCCCCAGGTGAGCTATGCAATCTTTGTACGCCCATAGGCTGTATCAAGCGTCAATCATAGAAAACATGAACCTCCTAATAACTTTTAAAAGTGGAGATGTACAGAAAAATGAGGACTTGAGCACAAACTAGTCTTACAGTAACTACAGGTCAACATCACAAGCATGGGGGAGAAAAATTTATATTCTGTGTAATAAATTTCTGAAGTTTGTCCACAACTCCATAGGGATTGCTGGCGGAGGCAGGATTTATGACCTATACTGCAGCCTGTCTTCAGACAGTGCTGTTCTTGGGTTGGCTTCACCCTGCAAGTAGGCAGACGGTGTCCATTCTATATAAAATCTATGTGAGTGGGACTTCTGTTGTTACTGACAAATTATAGTAATTTTAGACTTTTACTCGTTGATCTTACACCTAATTTAACAGAAAAAGCTTGTGGTAAAACACAGTTATGACATAAAATGCAGAATTTAGCAGGGCACTTATCACGTAGAATAGGTCTGGACTGTACTCTTTATTATAGCAACATTGACAGAAGCCTGCATTATTGTTGATTCCTCTTCATTTTCTCTGTCAGCAGCAAACTGACTGCTGCTGCTTTGTGGGTGACATTGCAGTTTACATTTAGTTCTTGTTGTAAAACACTCTGTGCAAGAACCTTATCGATATTTAAATAATAAACCATATACCACCACCTAATTCCTTACTTGATTCATGAGCATTGTCCTGCATATCTGACATCTTGATTGTGCACTGCTGGTAAGACACAAGCTTGAAATAAAAAAACTTGTTGACTTTGGTCTATTTTAAAATTCTAAATTTCTTTTTGTTGCAGATTTTTCAGGGGCACTTTGCTCTTTTTCTCAGGCCTATCATGACATTGCATTTTGCTTATCTTTGGGAAAAGGGACCAAATGATGCCAAGGAACAAATGTCATGACAGAAACCAATATTAAGCTTGTATTTCAAGTCGTACATAGACCTTTCCAACCAAGTCAACCATGTGGCTGTTGGAAAACAAACGTGCAGTGTTTTCTCTCATGTAAAACAATCAAGACACCTTGAATGTAAAAAAAAAAAAGTTTTTTATTATCTTTTTTGCATCACATACATGAACTCCAACTACATTTTACGAACTGCAAATGTTCTTTACCTCACTTTGAGAAAAAAAAAAAAAAGCTCTGTAGTTCTGGGGCAAAATTTAGTTGATTTCTGACCATTCTTACTGCTATGGCTGTGAGCTGTGACACTCCCAAGTCTGCTCCTTTTTTTGGTTATTGCAGGTAATTCACCAGAGCCAGACTTACCTGGAATCATAAACCTTTAATGTCAACTTCTTGGATCAGGTAGACTGATCTAAAATAGTTGTATAGACACTCCAATCTTAAGAAATAATGGACAAAAAAAAGGTCATTTTTATTTTCCAGGAACCTCAACATCATGTAATATCTTGACCCAGATAGCAAAAGATAGTGATTCAACGTTGAATTTTGGTAGAAAAGGTTGATCTTTGGTTACGATTGAAGACTGATGGTTGTTCAACATTTAATCACGGTTGTATTGTAGTGCACAATTCACTGATTGAAATGCCACCATTGAATCAACGTTGAATCTATGGTGCATATTCACTGATTGAAATGCCACCATTGATTCAGCATTGAATCTATGGTGCATATTCAATGATTGAAATGCCAACATTGAATCAACGTTGAATGTATGGTGCATATTCACTGATTAAAATGCCACCATTGAATCAATGTGGAATTTATGGTGCATATTCAATGATTGAAATGCCACCATTGAATCTTATTTTTTGGCTATTTTTTTCTGTGGGGGGGGGGGGGGGGGGGGCAATCCCCTCCTCCGAAATGCCAACATTGATTCAAATAATTGCCAGCAGGACAATCCCAACAATAATAATAATATTAATAATAATAATAATAATAATAATAATTTACATTTCATTTATATTGCAATTCATTTTTAAAACATCTCAAAGTGTGACGAAGTAGTTGGTTCCCTCCCCATTCATTCTCTGAAGACTGGGTGAGAGCATTTTATAGGCGGGGGTGTTGCATTAATGCATTTTAAATTAAGGCCTAAATTCTCAATACCTTGAGGAGAATGAGTTGTGATTTTGCTTTAAATAGCCTTATGACGGTTTATGCATAATTTGTAATCACAAAAATATAAGTTACCCTCAGAGGAGATTCGAGAGCATTCCAAAATACCCCGATCAAAACTTAGTGGTATGTCCCAACCAATTTCCTCTCTCTCTCTCTGAGGAATCTACTCAAGCCTGAGGAACAACAAAATACAGTGGTGAAAGCCCTTATGGAATATTTGTGAGACACAGGCCTGTACCGTAAGGTGTAAGGCCACAGTAGACATCTGTTTAATTCCTAGCACGAACTGTGGGAGGCAGCAATACGCCGATAAGCGTCTAGACTGCCAAAAAGCCAAAAGAAGAAGAAGAATTTCCTCTCTCTCTCATTCTCCTCTACTACCGGACCGACTGCATCAATTACTCCTCCGACCTTCTCTGTTTGTCTTGCACATTAAGTTTGACATATTTCTTTTATCTTAACTGTTTTCAGTGAAGCAAACAAGCTTTGTTTTGTGCTTATGCTTGATGTCCTATGTTTGTATATGTTTACGGTAATATGTACGTCGACTTATTAAGCTAAGTATATTTGTAGATTAGACAGACGTTGCGGTCCTTTTGTTAGTGTACTGTACACGGGTAACTGTTCTGGGTCTGTTCTCAGACCTATAACCAATACATTATTTAAAAACATTTCGAAATGTTTTCCTAACGGGCGCCAGTCTGTTCGCGCCAAGAGCATGAACCCACCAATTGTGTTCATTGTAACTGAATAGCGTCGCCAAGTCAGCCAATCAAATGTGATCATTTTGGTGTTTTTGAAAAAAAAAATGCACTGAAACTTGACAGCGGTTTTTACTTTCAATTCTCAATCTAAGTTTAGACTCTAATGTTCACAAAAGGTGGTCGGGTGGCTGTTTTAGTGCGAACATTTCCATTAATATCATTTTAATCTGTGTTGGTATGAAATCTGGACATTTAAATTGTGTGACCACAGCGGATTTGAAACTTTTACAGTGTAGCGGAGAATGGCGCCAAACGGACATGTTTGTAGTCTTTTGGAAGGGGGAAGGGGAAGGGGACAAGCTACTGAATCGATTGACACCTACCATTCTACGGACTACAAATCCCAGCTCCATAAAAAGTTGAGCGTAAATGCTGCGTTAACGGTGCACTCTCGTCGGCTGTTACGCGCAGCGCCTCACAGACATCTTCTCCAAACAGTTGCTGCGTCCGAACTGCGAAAGAATTGGCATTAATTTTCTTTGTTTTTTTTTCAGGATCACATACCAGTGTCAAGACTTGAAGAAAGAAGCTTGACTGACAGTCCATTACAGCAAAGTAAATAGGCACAATTTCTTTACAGTGACTACAGCATCTCATCATGGCAAATTACTGGGCTAAAAGGCGTAAAGTTAGCAAACTTGTGAGAGAAACGGTGGAGGATATCCTTATTGATTATGATGTAGCTGCTGCTAATTCTAATTTAACCGTCAATTCCAATGCAAATCTTCACTGTTTGAGGAGCACGAATCCTGTGACTGTCCCAACCTCTTCCGCGTGCCTGCTAGATGTACCAACTACATCAGATTTGCCACAAAACAGACCGAAAATTAATGATCAGAGTGAAAACATCAACTCCAAAACCTCAAAGGTCTCACCAAATGTTCAGTTCGAAAGCAAAGCTGAGGATGACAATTTGAATATGAAAATGACATTGGCTCAGACAGTGAGGAGAATAGTGAAGAATTACTCATGACAAGTCTGAAGTATTGGGCAACAAACTACTCAGTCTCTCTGGTTGCACTGTCTTCTTTGCTGTCTATCTTGAGGACATTTCATCCCACCCTTCCCAAAGATGGAAGAACATTGCTTGGAACACAGAAACATGTGCCTACCACTATCATTGAAGGGGGAGAGTATTATCATTTTGGTATTGTTAAAGGTGTACTTTCACGGTTGGCATGTTTGAGTTTACCAGCAACCCTGACTACATTTAATTTACAATTCAATATAGATGGCTTACCTTTATTCAAAAGTTCTAAACTTCAGTTTTGGCCCATACTTGGTTGTCTCAAATGTGATTACAACAAGTCCCCATTTGTAGTTGGCATTTTTTGTGGTCTTAGTAAGCCAAAGAGGGTTTTTGAGTTTTTGGAGCAGTTTGTCAAAGATCTCCGGAATGTACTGTCTAATGGCATTAGTTATAATGGCAAGCTATTTAATGTACAGGTTTCTTCTTTTATTTGTGATGCTCCGGCTAGAGCTTTTATTAAGCAGACAAAGGCATTTAATGGCTATTCGGGTTGTGACAAATGTTTTCAGGAGGGTGTATGGAGGAACAAAATTACATATCCTGAAACAAAAGTGAGGCTCAGGACAGACTCCAGTTTCGATGACATGGTTGATGAGGAGCATCACATTGGGAAGAGCCCTTTATCTGGATTGGTTAAAATGGTTTCTATGTTTCCAGCTGATTACATGCATCTCTGTTGTCTTGGAGTGACAAGGAAACTGCTTAATATGTGGTTGAAGGGGAAAAATTTGGCAACAAGAATTCCTTCCCAAACTATAGAAACCATTTCAGGTAAACTGATCTCACTATGTCCCTACATGCCCTGTGAATTCAACCGAAAACCAAGGGGACTGTCAGAGCTAGATCGCTGGAAAGCCACTGAGTTTCGATCATTCATGTTGTACTGGGGTCCTCTTGTTTTGAAGGGTTCCCTCCCCAGTGAGCTGTTCGACAACTTCATGTTATTTTCTGTAAGCATGTACTTGTTGCTGTCCCCTGGCATTTCTGAGGCGAGTTTGGCCTTTGCACACAAATTGATGGTTTCATTTGTTTAACACTATGGGGCTTTATATGGAAAAGATGAGATTGTGTCCAATGTGCACCAGCTTATTCATTTAGCTGAGGAATACAGGAAGTTTGGCAGTCTAGATAATATATCAGGATTCCCTTTTGAAAACCACCTTGGACAAATTAAAAATCTTCTACGCAAGCCACATCAGCCTCTTCAACAGGTAGTAAAAAGGTTGTCTCAAAGAGAAATTCCATGTAGAGCACCAAATCCCACCAGTGCTCCAACACTGCATAACATCCACACTGATGGTCCTGTGCCCCCACAGTTCATTTCATCACAACAGTACAGGAAGGTCTCCACTCATCTATTTACTCTGTCTACAAATAAGGGAGATAACAATATTCTCTATTAATGCAAATACACCTTCAACCTCAATACAGTTAAGTCAGAGGAAGGTATATATATAATTTACAGAAAGTACAGACACAAACAGCCGTATTACATGTATCCCTGTGAGTCCTCATACATTGGAACATACAAGGTCAGTGGGTTGCAAGAGGCTATAGGAATAAGTAAACTTGGCCATATCAAGCGCAAATGTCTTCTTTATCCACATGGTGACGGTGCCATTGTAATGCCGCTGCTTCATTTTGCAGCATAACCAAACTTGTCCTACAAAGCCAAAGTAACTACATTTTTGGTCACTGATCATTCCTTAACTTCCCTAAACTTATACCTAACCCCAACCGCAAGCAACTTGCAAACTTGTTGTCAGCTGCCGGTGCCACGGGGTACTAATTAAGGGATTCTCTCCAAACGTCCTAAAACAATAAATTATTTTGTAGTTACTGAACTTTTGCCCTGTAGGACAGTATGGGAAAAGGCTTGTATAGAGAGATCATTGGGTAGTTCTTGTCATTTCAGCCATAGCCTTCTTAAGATGGATGGTGAGGTGCTGTACTCAGTTGCACAGTTCCCAAATGGTGGGACAGCAGTGATTCTTAGGAGCTGGTTTAAAGCCGAAGAAAGGATCCTGTTATGGCCCCCTACTAAAATTAAATGGGCAAAAGCCATCAAAGAGAGAATGCAACCGGATGGTAAATGGATCCCCTACACGAATGTGTGCCTACTTACTAGTTGTGGCGAGTATTCTGTGCAATACCGTGTGTGCGTGTGTGTGTGTGTGTTACTTACACTTGAGACATTATGATATTGTCGATCAGCTATTTTTGTGGAATGTGTGCTCAGTCTCAAGTATGTTCACATCAAGACATGACCAGAACATGGATGCCATGGTTAATTTATGGTACAAAACTAATCAAAGTTTACAGGTACATTCAAGGTTGTACTTCATTGTGACATCTTGTGTGCAGGTACATAAGAGTAAAACTTATTTGGGTTAGGCTGCCTGCCATCAGATGCAGCAGCATAGATGACAACTACAGGTTCACATGTGCATTTGCAGTTATGTCAATTGGCATTTTCCCTCTTAACTTCTCAGAGACCCTTGATGAAGCCAGGCGGAGAGAGCAAAAGTACAACACGACAGCGTGTCCTACCTCTGCAATAGAAACTGACGATGAAGGACATCAGCAAGAGATGAAAAAAAGAACATCCAAGTAAAGTGATAACCTCTTTTTTTCCTCTCAGCATGGTCCTGATGGGTCCAGCTGAGTTGTCTAGGTTTAGTCAGTATATCTGTCCTTATGTTGACCACCACGCACACACACACCAATCACAGCTCAGCTTATGCTGCCACGCGGATTAAGCAAACCACACAGCTTAGCTGACATTGCCTCGCTGACAGCTTAGCACATGCTAGACCAATCGTAGCTCAGCTCACACTAGGTTGTTGCAGCTTGTACAGCAATACAGTTATTGTAGTCATAAATCCATAGGACCTAATCAAACACTTTAGACCCATACATAAAGACGGCTAAGGGCGAGGTCGCCTCTCGCCCTTAGGGCATTTTACTAGTCCAACTAATGCTAAAAGAATAACACAAAATGGCCTTAGGGCGTGTTTCTATAGTGGTCCTTTGTATGAGACTGTAGACATGGCTAATAAACATTATGATTACATTTCTCTCAATTGTATTTAGGACAAATTCCAACTATGCCAACTCTGACTCTGATGACCAATCGAGTGCTGACAGTGCCAAAAAGCAACGGTTTGCCAAACCACCTCATGTGGGTTTCCCAGGTAGACCTATTGACAAAATGTATTGCATGTATTTTATAAGGGCAATCTTAGAACTGTCACTGCTCACTGCTACAGTTAAAACCAAATTGCACCTGTCTGACATTGTACCAACAAACTGAATTGGCTGCAGTCATTCTTTATAGTTTTAGCCCAAAATACATACACCGTGAATAATATATAATTGTGTTTTAGGAGAGACTCCAAAGTTTGGTTGCTGCTTTGTTAACTGTCATCATCTTGGAAGATACATGTAGCAACATGACTGTTAAGTTTGAATAAGAATTTAATTTTCTTAGGAACCTTAGGTCAGGCACTAAAGGGCATTCCTAGAATTGGCTTCAGGCATCAATGGGTTAAATCAAACTTGTCATGTTTTTATGTAAGTGTTACAGCTTCTGTTCTTTTGGTTCTTCCCTCTAGATTCCTTTTGTGGGAACTACAGCCAATATCACCCAATGCCATTGCCTGATCGTAGTTGCTATGGTAAGCGAAAAAGCTGTCTAACATTTACAAAATTTTTCTTGTGTGTGTGTGTGTGTGAGTGAGAAAAGGTTAGATCTCTGTATTCTGATCATCATTGCTCGCTATTTTGTTCATCCTCTCCTTTGATTGCATACTGTATTAACCGTAAAAAGTACAGGGACACAGTTATACAATTATGCTATAAGCCAACAATGACACAATGCTCTCAGTCCTTGTTTCCATTAGGTCCTGTGTTCAATTCATCTGTATTTACTACTCTCTCCTGATTGGAGAGACCTTTTCTGTTTACTAAAGAGCCGTAGGGAAGGGGATTGACACCAGTTTAAGATTTTTTGCTAAAATCACTCCCTCCCTCTGATACACAACCACACTCAACTTTCAAAATGTGCGCAGCGATTAAATTGCATGAATGTTTATTTTACAGATGGAACCAGACAGAATGGCAGTGACACCAGGGAGCTTTTAAAAGGCAAGTGTGTTAGTGCAGTTCCTCACAAGTCATTTGCAGGCTGTACTGTATTCATTTGTCAATTAACGTTTTAATGTACTTTTTTGTAAGATGTTGCCATTTAGAAAATTACTGCAATGCTCGCGGAAGTCCTTGTGGAGGTGAAGGCGCTCTCAAGGGAAGTCCAGTACATTAAACACCAACTGGCAGAGGGCATGCCACAAGCAGCCAGAACCCCAACGTTGCCCATCCAGCTTCCCTTATCAACGGAAGAAGAATTCATCCAAGCAGAAGGTCACGTCGCCTGTCTGGTGGAAACCCACCTTAAGTGGCTAAAGAAGTGCCCTGATTGTATTCTCTTCTTTTTTTTTTAGATTTCTCGCCTGGCCATAGTAGGAGGCACCGACACAAACAACTTTATCCGGCGGATGTTGGCAGCAGCCTTGACAAATGCTCTGGCCAGTCAATACAACTGGGCAGGCAAGCACGATAAGCGTTGTTCCTCCACCAAGAAGGCCTTCAAAAACACAGCGATGCAAGGCTGCTTGTTTGGTAAGAACCTAAGTCGTCAAAGAAAGTGTAGACACTGATGTATGTTTGAACACATTGTTGTTACGTGTATGCCAGTTGAAATCCTTATTGATCAGCACTCCCAGGTACTTATGGGAGGAGACATGTTTGATGTTATGGTCATGAACAGTATTCTTGTTATCTTGTCTTTCAGCTGCTGCTCGACAGTTTGATGAAAAAATGAGCCAGAAGCAATTTGAGGACATAGTCAAATCTTGGCTGCGATTTGCACCAAACAGACAGGGGGGCATTCCAAGAAATGCTCCGGAGCAGCAGGGAGCTGTCCCAAAAAGCCCATAGTCAGGTGGTAAATGACTTTTTCTTCTAATTTTCATTTTCTACATCTTCACCACTCTGGACTATTCTGGGCTTTTTCTTTAGGTTTTGTTATCGGCAATTGTGATTGCCTTGATGTTGAATAAATTTTAAGTTTAAAATCATGTTGTCTGTCTTTGTTTTTTTATTTCATTTTTAATATTTATTTTCACATTGTAGGAAAAAGTAATTTTGAACAAGCTATTGAGATGTCTTAAAGTATATCAGCATACACATAATTTAACATGTACATGTTAAATTATCTAAATATTATTGTATGATCAGGATCAGTATTGAATCCTAACATGATTCAACAAATCAATTTATGTACATGTAGGTTTCCATTTAGATGATGGTTGAATCAACGTTGATTCCTGATGTTGATTCAATATAAAATCAACTAAAATGTGCATGCAGATTACCATTTAGATGATGGTTGAATCAACATTGATTCCTGACGTTGATTCAATATAAAATCAACTAAAATGTGCACACAGATCACCATTTAGATGATGGTTGAATCAACGTTGATTCCTGATGTTGATTCAATATAAAATCAACTAATATGTGCACACACATTACCATTTAGATGATGGTTGAATCAGTGTTGATATAGTGTCAGTTAGTGGTTGAAAACCCAACTTTGAATCAAGAGGGAATGCCTTTGCACTTTCTGTACAATTTCTACGTTAGGTTTCAACGTAGATTCAATCATTCTGCCTAACTATCTTTCAACCTTGATTCAACCCTATTTTGCTATCTGGGGAGTTACAATGTGTCAGACAGTCCTGCTTCAGGCAAGAATTTGCTTACCCCAGCTGCTTTTGTGTGGCCTTCAGTTTCTCAGCTGCAACTGTACTTCCGAGCATATACTTAAACTTGCCTTCACCTTTTCCACTGTTTGTTTAATGGCAGCAGTGGCACTGTTAACAATTAGATTCAGGGTGTGAGGCAAAGCAGAACAGGTGAGGCCAACCTGTGTTTTGGATTACTTTCACCACATTTCCAACGTTGTCAGACGCACATGCAGCAACTTTATCCTGGATTCCCCACTCCCTTGCTACAATCAGAAGCTGTTCTGACAGGTTGTTTCTCACTAATCTCAAAACACTCCAGCCTCCAGGTTCCACTTGTGCTGGAGCAGAGCTGCTTTAAATGTGTGGAATCATCCTAAATAATTCTACAGGTTTATAAACAAGTTCTACGACATTTAATGCATTTGTGCATCATGTTCTCTCTATCTATACTGCAAGTTGATGACACATATATTTCTTGCAACAGATGCCAGTATACAAAGACTGCGAGGAATGCAAAACTCTAATTTGGAGTTGCAAGCAAAAAGTGCAGCCATTGTGGGGCCACACAGCTGTACAAGGAAAAATAAATGCACATTTTATACAAAAGGCAGCTATAGAACTTTATCAGTCAGATATATTAGATAAACCAGATTTACTTCATACCCAACCTTCATGCTCAAAATGTTAACATAACTGTCAAGCAACACTCTACCCTGAGTCCAAAGGCGGCCATAATGATGGAATTCTGCTTTGATCATAATGCAATGACTTGTAGTGATTTTTTAAACAGTGTTAAGGCAGAGTAAGTGAGCGTAACACCTATGGGAATTTGAATAAAATATTCAGCCAGACCATGGCATAATAGTTTACAAATATATTCTTAGAAAAAACACATCTTCAGCCCTCAACTCCGCCTGTTCTTCCTATTACTCCAACCTCATCCACTCCGGCTCCAGTAACCAAAACACTCTTTTCTCCACAGTCAAAAAACTGCTCCACCCCATAGACAGCATCTCCATCACCTTCACCCCGGAAAAGTGCAACTCATTCCTCTCCTCTTTTCAATCCAAAATCAACACAATCTACAACTCCCTTCCCCCACCCTCCATTCCCGGCTCCTCCCATCAGCACTCTCCTGCTTCTCACCTGTTTCTCCAACCGATGTGACCAACATCATCTGCTCCATGTCACCATCCACCTGCATCCTGGATCCCATCCTCCCTCATCAAGCACTGCCTCCACGTCATCTCTCCCATCATCACACAGATCATTAACTCTTCCCTCAACTCCGCCACTGTTACCCCTTCACTCAAACTGGCCGCTGTCACCCACATCGTTAAAAAAACCTGGACTCAACCCTGACGACATCAACAACTTCCGGCCCATCTCCATCCTCCCTTTCCTGTTGAAAATCCTTGAACGTGTCATTGCATCACAAATCGAAGCCCACCTCAACAATTACAATCTTTATGAACAGTTTCAATCCGGATTCCGCACCCACCACAGCACTGAAACTGCCCTCATCAAAGTCACCAACGACCTCCTCATTTCTGCTGACTCCAGCCAACTCTCCATCCTCATCCTCCTTGACCTCTCCACCGCTTTTGACACCATCAACCATGCCATCCTCCTGTTCCGCCTACACTCCCTCCTCAATATCACAGACACCGCTCTCAACTTGATCCACTCATATCTCACAGACTGGAATCACTTCATCCACATCAACAACTGCTCCTCCACAAACTGCCCCCGTGTCCCAAGGTGTCCCCCAGGGCTCGGTGCTTGGTCCCTTCCTCTTCATCATCTACCTCCTCCCTCTCGGCCACATCCTCCGTCAACACAATTTTCACTTCCGCTGCTACGCTGATGACATTCAATTGTACATCTCTTCCACCTCCATCACCCCCCAGACCCAACACTCCCTCTCAAACTGCCTCTCTGATATCAAACACTGGATGGACAGCAACCTTCTCAAGCTCAATTATGACAAAACAGATCTCATCATCATCGGCCCAAACTCCCTCACCTCCACAGTCACAGACTTTCATCTCTCCATTGACAACTCCACCTTCTCCCCCTCCCCCCACTGTCGCAACCTTGGTATTCTCTTCGAAAGCAACCTCTCCTTCACCCAGCACATCAAGCAAATCACCAAAACAGCCTACTTCCACCTCAAAAACATTGCCCGCCTCCGCCCCTCCCTCTCCTACCCTGCAGCTGAAACCCTCATACATCCATTCATTTCATCCCGTCTAGATTATTGTAACAGTCTCCTCCATGGCACTACCTCCACTCTCCTCAATAAACTTCAGCTAACCCAGAACTCTGCCGCCCGCCTCCTCACCCATATACGCTCCCACAAACATATCACCCCCATCCTCCAGAACCTTCATTGGCTCCCCATCCCCCATCGCATTCAGTACAAAATCCTCCTCACCCACAAAGCACTCCACATCCCCCTACATCCCCCCTGCACCCTCCGCTCCGCCAATGCCAACTCCTCACAGTTCCCTCGACCAGGCACCGAACTGAACCTGGGGTGACAGAGCCTTCTCAGTCGCAGCCCCCACCCTCTGGAACTCACTCCCACTGGACCTCAGAAACTGCACCAACCTTACCAGATTCAAAACCCGACTCAAAGCCCACCTCTTCCACACTGCCTTTCATCCTCCATAGTCCCCCCCTTGTGGATTTTACATGATTTTATTGATATTGATGTATATTTTATTGTATACTGATGTTTTATTGTTCTTGCTTTTTTCATGTACAGCGTCTTTGCGTCCTTAAAAAAGCGCTTTACAAATAAAATGTATTATTATTATTAATATCTTTTATGCGTCTTCAGCAGTTGATCTCTTCAATCTATGGCAATTCCTCCTGACAAAAAAACAAAAATGGAATAAAACCTCATCTCTTTGCTGTTTATGTTTTAAAAAATAATACTTTTTTCATCACCAATCAGAATCACTCAGAGAGGGCAAACTTCCACCAAGGCCTTAGGATTCTGACTTTAGAAATTCTTGGATCTAGTTCCTCATGAAATTTCCAACCTACCTTCCCAGAAAGTTTTATCAAAGCTCATTCATAACTTTTTGAGTTGTACTGCCACAAATCAATGCCATCTAAAACTGGAGCTCCTTGGCGAAGGTAATAACTGCACACAAAGGAGGTTGACAATGAATAATCATCATGTCAATTCTGTTACAGCTTCACAAGTGGCACCTTCTAGATCGTTACCCCATACTCCTCCTTGCCAAAAGAACTGGTAGTGCAATTACAGCTGAGTTCTTTTGTCCATGGGAAATTTAAATAGAGGAAGCCAGAAATTCCCTGGACACCATCAAAAGTCTTAATGCAAGTCTTCTTAATTGTAAGGCTCATAACAGTTATGCAGATTTCATCCAATTTTCACTTTTCTGGTATCCTACATAAAATGTGGCTTTTCTGCCTCGCATCCCGGGTTCATCCCTTCTGAAAGTTTTTTTTTTTAACATTCCACGTCATGTTCTCACTCAACATGACTCATGAGCTCCTAGTTTTGCATTCAGCAGATGCTGTTAGTTTGTGGGGTTAAAGTGTTAAGCCCTCTGAAGCATGTAAGCTACCAAATAGTAGGTGTAAGTTGTGTGACCTACTGCATAGGTCTTCTTCTTCTTTTATTTATTTATTTGTTTTAAATAAAAATCAACAACAGATGAATACTTCTCCATACTGCTGATCTTTTTGTTTTGTTAGTGGTGAGATGATAACATGTAAATAAGATGAATTATATCAGATTGACTGAAATTATCGTGTTATGATTAAAAAAATGTGTTCTCCAAATTTAAGCATTTGTTACTGCATTTCCTCTGACACTACAGTATGAAAGCACCCACTCTGCAGTCCCTTAAAAGCTAACAGTAACAAATACAATTCTTCACAATTCTGAATAGTTGATCATGATTACATTATAGATAAAACAGGCATTTTTGAAGATACACTACTGGTTAAAAGTTTTAGAACAGTTTTTCCAGAATTGTATTGAAAATGATGCAGTTCAATATCTCAGTGTACTCTGAAATGAATGGATAGAACAAATAAACAATTGAAGTTAAAAAGAAATCATAAAATCAATTTAGAAACAAAAATGTATTCTAAACTTTGGACTCATCAAAGTAGCCACCTTTGGCAGATATAACAGCTGAACAC